TCATATCCATCTTGTTAAAACATCACTGTTGGTTTATTTATTTGATATATTCGATTTTGTTTTTATCCCACCTTTATTACTTTGTAAGTAACTCGAAGCAACAATTATATGTAACTAGCCATTGCTCATGTATTTATTTATAGGGGGGAAATGTCCGGACCAAATGTAATTTCTAATGTTGGATATCCCCCCTTACCAGATGGAGCCCCCTTGTGGAGTATTGTGAAGACGTTACCATGGCAACTCCACAGTAGAAGTCATTTTACGGCAGTATAGTAGAAGCCATTTTAAGGCACAACAGGCTGTATCTTAACAAAACACACACCCTGAGGGGTGTTAGGGGTGTCTTACCCCCACACTAGTTGTTTCCAGAAAAGGTTTCATCTGTGGTCTGTATGTTTAGAAAATGAATTCTGAAGATCAGTTTAACACACACACACACACACACACACGTGTGTGTGTGTGTGTGTGTGTGTGTGTGTTCCAGCATAACTCTGGAACGCCTCAAACAGTTTCAACCAAACTTGGTACACAGATGACTTACTTTCTGGAAACAACTAGTGTGGGGGTAAGACACCCCTAACACCCCTCAGGGTGTGTGTTTTGTTAAGATACAGCCTGTTGTGCCTTAAAATGGCTTCTACTATACTGCCGTAAATTGGCTTCTACTGTGGAGTTGCCATGGTAACGGCTTCACAGTATTCCACAAGGGGGATCCTTCTGATAAGGGGAAAAAAAAATCTAACATTAGAAATTATGTTTGGTTCGGACATTTTCCCCCTACAAATAAATTCTGGGTTCTGCTTATACTAGTTTTCTTTAAAATAAAAATTCCATACCAGGATCATTTGTTTGAATTTCTCATCCCCATACAGTGTCTGTGTACGCGCATGTGTGTGTAAGCATGCAAACAAAACACAAAAAACCCTCATCCAATGTTATACTTTAACTTATCTGAGATACTTCAATGTTATTATTAAAGCATAATATGGTATCAACTGTAAGAAATAGCATTATATACTAGGATTTAACTCATTTCTTGTCAATGTGGTGACTTAAATTTAAGCATTCTTTTGAGAACTCAGCTTTTGTAAAATAAGCAAAAAAGCTATAACATTTTTCTAAATGTATTAACTCTACCCCTGACATTTTCTGTGCACGAATTTAAACCATTTTGAATAAACATTGCTCCATTGCTTGGTTCTCACCTACGTTTCAGGAGACCACTAAAGTCAAGTTCTCCTGCATCCTCTTGTCCTTCACCACTGTTATTAATAAACAAACAAACAAAAACAAACAAACAAACAAACAAAAAAAGATCAAGTCTTCATTTAATAGGCAGAGAGTCAAACAACACATATTGCATATATCCTAGCTGCCCTACCAATGCAATATATATGCAGACACACAAGGAAAAACTATTATGTCAACACAAACTTGTATTCTTTTTCACAGGATTTACAATTTCTGTAACAAGCACTTGTGAAACATGAACACAAAGATTTGCATTGCTCCAGGTTATACCTGTTCAGGCAAATTCTTGTAAATAGAATCATACATTTGCCCCAATTTGTGTTATGTATTTGTGTAACACAAACATGTTTTTAAGGTGCGTTAGCACACAGGGCTTTGTTTTAAACAGCTTCCAGTGTGCGTACCTAAAAATGCATCAATAAATAAAGTAAAGGGCTTATGCTGAACTCAGCTTTAAGTGTAAATCAGATACTTGCATTGTTATTTGTGCTGTACAAAACAATGCAAAACTGTATGAAAGAAGGTAAGTTTTTCTTTTTAGACTAGTTAGCAAGGAGAATCTGAGGATCTCAGATCCTACCCCGCATGCATAACGTGTTGCATGATTGTAAAGGTGGGAAGCCATAGGGAAATATAATTAAAAATAGACAAATGCATGTTTAGAACATATTGAGCATTAACACTATCACTGAAATATTTATAAATAGAGTTTAATGTGTTTTGCTTCTCTAAGGATTGCCTTGGCACTGAATTCAACAGCTTGAAAACAGGATTTCCTGCTTAGGCAATGACTGGGAAAATATGTAAACCAGTGTATACTGGTAATTTAAAAAAAGGTGGGGGAGAGCTAGGTTGCTTTTTTGTCTGTGTGTGAATAGGGAATTATCTCTTCCTATTGCATGGCTACAGGAGGAGAAATACCTTATGCTCTCCTCCCTTAAATGACTGTGCCACCTGAGGCCAGACCTAAGCATAGTGCACAAAATTGTCTGCTGCAACGTCCTATCTGTCAATGACTACTTCAGCTTCAACCGCAATAATACATGGGCAAACAATAGATACAAACTTAAACTGCTCCAAACTCGATTGCAGAAAATAAGATTTCAGCAACAGAGGGGGCAATGCCTGGAATGCACTACCTGACTCCGTTGTTACATCCTCAAACCCCCCACAGCTTCAACCTTAAACTGTCTACCATGGACCTCCCCCCATTCCTAAGAGGTCAGTAAAGGGGGCATGCATAAGCGCATCAGTGTGCCTACCATCCCTATCCTACTATCCCCATTTATTTGTATTCATTTTATTTATTCATGTCCATGTCCATACTTATACATGCCATCCTGTACATGTTTGACAAAGTACCAATAAAAATAAATAAAAATAAAAATATTTTTTTCAACCTATACATTGAATATATATATAGTAAAATATATTGTAAAATATATATATATATATATATATATATATATATATATATATATATA